ATCCATTGATTGACAGATGGAAACTTACGTCACTCCTAGTGAGCATTTTATCATTCCTACAATTCTTGCAAGGACAAAAAATCAACCCGCTGAGTGACCGTAGAGGGTTGGTGTCAGAGTAGGCTAAGAAAGCTTCTATCCCATCCTTGTATCGAGTGTCTAGATGCCTTCGATCACGTGGTATGCCCATGAACGATTTGTCAGGAATTGTCCGCATCTAGAATTTAAAAATTAATGGAAGTGAGCATATCCCTACATATATCATTTTAAGTTATAGGACAAGTGTGTGTGATCGGCTGTCAGAGGAAGGCTTCTATCCCATTAGGTATGTAAACGTAGCGTGTATATGTATTTACGTGTGTTCAAGTGTACTTTTATTTCGTCAAAATTTCGGCAGCACCTACCCGCTGTACTTAATCGGATCCGGATCCTCTACTAATAAGAGGGTTCCTAATATCTCCTAATGAGATCTTGGCCTTTGATTTATCAATCAAAGGCCAAGATCTCCTCATGCACAAAAATAGGCGGGAGATGCGGATAAGATATTATCCTTTGAATATGAATAAGCCTCAGCATAAAAGAAAGCCTTGTGAACTCCTTACACCCCTCGTATAATAGTTACGCTAACCCCTTATCCTCACCCTCACCCCCACCCCCACCCTCACCCTCACCTAACCCTAACCCTAACCCTAACCCTAACCCTCAACCTCACCATCACCTAACCCTCACCCTCACACTCACCTTCACCCTCCCCTAACCCTAACCCTAACCTTAACCCTCAAACTCACCCTCACCCATCACCCCTCACCCTCACCTCACCCTCGATCACATAACTCTAACACTCACCCCACCCTCGATCAAATAACCCTAACCCTAACCCTCACCCTCACCATCACCTCCACCCTCACCTAACCCTCCTCTAACCCTAATCCTAACCCAAACCCAAACCCTAACCCTAATCCTCGAAAATATGAGTGTACGGTGTGTGTAGTTTCTATGTAATTAATGATATAATAGTTACGCTAACCCATTATCGATCCTCACCCCCACCCTCACCTAACCCTAAACCTGACCCTCAACCTCAACCTCACCATCACCCCTACCCTCACCTAACGCTAACCCTAACCCTCACCTTCACCCTCACCCTCACCCTCACCTTCACCCTCCCCTAACCCTAACCCTATCATTAACCCTCAAACTCACACCCACCCCTCACCCTCACCCCACCCTCACCTAACCCTAACCCTCACCCCCACCCTCACCTAACCCTAAACCTAACTCTAACCCTTACCATCACCCCCACCCTCACCTAACACTCCTCTAACCCTAATCCTAACCCAAACCCTAACCCTAACCATAACCCTAACCCTCACCCCCACCCCCACCTAACCCTCCTCTAACCCTAATCCTAACCCTAACCATAACCCTAATCATAACCCTAACCTAACCCTCACCGAACCCTAACCCTCACCCCACGCCCCACCCACGCTAACCTCTCCAACACTATACCCCTAACCCTACCCGCACGCGGTGCCGGGGAGGGACGCTAGGAAGCCGGGCGCGTGGCTGCGAGAGCGCCGGTGGAAACCTAGACCCTAACCTATGACCAGGGAACCGGCTGGAGAGCCGGGAGCGGAGTGCCCTGAACCGCTGAGGGGGAGACGCGCGGCGCGCGTAAAGGGACGCGGTGCACAGACGCCATGGCGACGCAGCGTGTAACGGGCTCTAGGATGGTAGACAAGTTAGGAGGTGTGGGGGTATGGTGACGGGTGGAGTCGGGAGTAGAGCGCGGGGGTGGTGTCGAGTCGAGAGGGTATAGTGAACATCTTGTGAGTTGGGTAGGGGTTTGTGGGTTGTGCGTTGGCGATGATAGGTGGTATTTGTTTGGCGAGAGAAGGTGGAAAGCGGACAGAGTGGTAGTTAGGGAAGCAATGTGAAGTGGTAAGAGAGTGGTTGACAGTAAGGAATGAGGGGAGGAACCAAGTCGGGCATGCGCTCCGCGCCTGGGTCGAATGAGTGGTGGTGCGGGGTCGCTGTCGGGTCGGTCAGTGCCGTGCTCGGCGGGGGGCGGATCCGTCGGCGCGCAGCCGGCGGCCGTTGGCTCCGCTCCGCTGCCGGCGTCGGCCCGAGAAGAAGAGAGAGGAGAGAGGAAGGAGAGTAATGAGAGGGGCGGAGATGAAAAGAGAGAGAGATTTGAGGGAGAGCGGAAGTAGGCGTCCTTGAGAGTGAGGGGCGGCAGAAGAGCCGGCGGCGGCGGCGCGATTAGAGGCGCGGAGGGGGAATGAGAGGGGGGAGGCGGGATTCGGAACCTGGAGATCGCGAACACCAGGCGGCGGAGGGGGATGAGGAGGGTGGGAACGAGTATGGGGGGGCGGCGGCGGCGCAGAGGTGGCGGAGGGGGGGAAAGAAGGAGATGGGGGATTCGACCAGTGGGGGGGGGGAATCGGCACAGGATGGGCGGCCGGGAAAAAGAGGACCAATCACAGCAGGCGGGGGGGAACCCTAGGTTTATTAATTGGGCGCGGGCTGCCCAAAAAATTTGGGCGCCCGCGCCCAAAAAATTTTGCCCGAATTAGTTTTTAGCGACGGAATGTCCGTCGCTAAAAACTCTTTAGCGACGGAAATTCCGTCGCTAAAAACTAATTAGCGACGAATATTTTTTTTGGTCATAAATTTATTTAGCAACGAAATAATTCCGTCGCTAAAACTCAAATTTCCGTCGCTATATCAATTTTAGCTACGTAAATTTGGCGACAGAATTTTCCGTCGCTATAAACAACTTATAGCGACGGAAAATTCCGTCGCTATTATTCCGTAGCTAAAACTTCTGTTGTAAACATTTGATTTATTAGTTTGTAATAAGCCTTCTTATTAATACAAACGAAGCTCCCTGTTTTCGGGAGATCAAAATTTACACATACACCATCATAAACAGGAATCTTCACTCTGAAGTCGGTTTTTAAATTCTGGTAAGAACCCTTGCCCCCTTGATGTGGAACAGTCTTGATGACTTCGTCCTCCTCTTCAGAATCTGTCTCCTCACTGTCTCCATCGGATTCTATAGGTTGCGTCTTTGGCCCTGCCGTAGGTTCATCCTTCTTGTCACCTCTTTGGATGAAATCGACAAGCTTCGTGAGAGTCGAACTAATTGTCTCGATCTGCTTCTCCACCGCATCAAGTCGTGATGAATTTTCGCTATCCGCCATCTTCTTCTTTCTTGATTTCTGGACTTCTTCCAAAGAAACAAGAATCTCGCATAGCTTCTTGTATTACGATCGAGTAAGGACCATACACAGGATACGCCAATCACAAGATCTGATTGCTCTGATACCAACTTGATACGAGTCACCGTGTGAGTACCTTTGATCGCAGAATTATCAAAGATATCTTTGTGAAGAAAATGGCAAACCACAAGAACAATTCAATATGTTGAAGAAAAATACCTTCTCCAGATTATGAAGAATAATAGATTACAAAATCTCTTTCCTCACAATCTCTCTAGAATAAAAAACAACCTCTCTATTCTCTCTAAAATCTCAGATTTCCCACCCAGGAATCCGCTCTCAATAGGGTTTAGTTATATACAAACCCTAAAACCGAAACAAGGTAGGAATCCAAATTCAACCCAGACTCACTATCGGTCGACCGATGCACTCCCATTGGTCGACCGATAGGTCTCCATCAACCGACCGATAGTTGAGATCGATCAGCTGTCCAGAGCGGTTGTTTTTGACCCTGTAGTGTGCATGTTTATTGGTCGACTGATACTGTTCATCAGTCGACCGATCAGAGCCAGTTTGCCAGACTTATTATTTCCTGATTTTCACCGTTTCCATTCGTCGTTTCTATTCTCAAGCTACCATGAGAATCATCTATTCTCAAGCTCTCATGAGGATCGCTAAGTTCCCGAAACAAAGAAGATACACCCGTATCAAGTAGTCTCGTGGATTTGCTTGGCAGAGAACGACAGGTCTCTGCTTAACGCACGAGACTAGTAGTCCTATGTGTTTTGGGTTCCCTTCAGAAAACCCATGAGACTAGTAGTCCCATGGGGGTCCCATGGGTTTTCTGAGATCATTTAGTGGACAATTAGGGGCCACTAAACATACGTGATTAGTAGTCCCGTACGTTTCGAAAATCCTATTTTGTGAAACCGACCTCGTTTTGATCTGTTGGCCAAAAATTAGCAAAATATTCGGTTTTGCTAATTATTTAGCAAAAAGAGGCTCCTTTGGGAAAAAAAACCTCCTATCAGGAACTAATATGCAATTACACTTTATTTTACATGTTTTCTTAGATATTTGCCCTTTACATTAAAGGTAAGGACAAATTTTCAAAACCAACCTATTTACAAATTTAATAGCAGAAAACAACCTATTTCAGATTTAATTGCAAAAACCGACCTGGTTTCAGCCCTGGAGCTGAAACCAGGTCGGTTTTTGAAAATTTTTATCCGAAACTTCACGGGAGTTGAACTCCCGTGAAGTTTCGTAGTTCAAATTTTTTTTTTGTACTGGGAAACTTCACGGGAGTTCAACTCCCGTGAAGTTTCGAAAGTTTTTTCACAAAAACCGACCTGGTTTCAGCGCCAAGGCTGAAACCAGGTCGGTTTTTGCAATTAAATCTGAAGTGGGTTGTTTTCTGTGATTAAATTTGTAAATAGGTTGGTTTTGAAAATTTGTCCTTAAAGGTAATTTGTCCTAGCCCTTTCAATCTCGATATTTTGATATTAGCCCCTCAAGTTGCTATAATGTGTTAATATGAGGGGCTCATATCAACACATCATGGCTATTTAAGGGGTAATATCAAAATATGAACCTAATCACAAGGGCTCATATCAACATACCATAGGTATTTGAGGGACTAATATAAAAATATGAAATGTGTAGGGGTCCACACGAATTACTTATAATGTAAGGGGCTAATAACTAAAAAACCCTATTTTTACACGCGCCTGCTGCTGTTCGTATGTCTTCTCCTCTGCCTCTCCGAATCATGAGTCCAACTCTAAAGTCTAAACCCATTAGAAAACGCCGGCGGAGAAATGGGAGATCAATCTCCCCCGTTCTCCCAAAACAACGGCTACAAAATTCTCAAATTTCTTCTCATTTTCTAATTTTCCTCCAAAAAGATACAAACTTGGAGACAAAGCAAAATCTCTCGCTCACGCTCCCTCCCTTAGTTCTCGCCGTTTCTCTCTCCTCTCCTCCGCTTTCTTTTTCTCTCCCAAACGCCCCCAAAAATAAACCCAAAGATAAAAAAAAGAAGAAGAAATTTTGATGCTCTTCGTCTTCGCAATGCACATTATCCTTTGAAATCTTGAGGAAAATTTTGTTCGTTTCGATGCGGACGGGGGCTGGCCAGATTCTCCTCCGGCTGCTGCTTTTTCTCAGCATCAATGGCGTCATGGTTCGAGGGCAGGACGACGACGACCCGTCGTCGTCGACGGGGCTCCAGAGCTACTACAGCCGGATCCTCTTCTCTCGCATCATGAATCTCACCGAAAAATTTAAACCCCAAATCAATAGGGAGCTAGGTTACTGCATCAAAGACCCGTAAGTTTAATGTGAAAATGGTCCTCCGTGTGCTGATGATGATTATGATGGTTACGTTTCTCAGTTTCTTGATTTTGATTTAGGGATCAGGAGATTAATGCGGCCTTCAATTTCTCCAAGGATCCCACCTTCTTGACTAATTGTCTCAGGGAAAACAGTACGACCAATCTTAATTCCTTTTTCTTTTTAAGTAAACCCGCCATCATTTTTAATAGAACTACTTTTGCTAACTTTTAAAAGAACATTCCCTTCATGCAAATTGTTTATTATGAATATTTCCATCATGGCACTGGTCTACGGATGTTTCCGTTTTAACATCAATACAATATTAGGATTTGTTAGAATGGTACCGTGTAGGTAGCTTGATGACATTAATTCTTATGATTTGGTAAGAAGTAGTTGAGTAGGGTCATTGAGAATGAGGGAAAAAAAGCGGTTAGAGTGGAGATACAATCTGTTATGACAATTACTACAGGAAATCCAATTGGGAGTTTTTTCACGACTCCAACACGTTCATTACACAAGCATTGCAGTGCATTAATACGATACTTTCACGAACCAGTAAAGGTATGCTTTACGTAGTGTTGAAGAGAACTCTAGAAGGAAGCTAATGCGTACGAAAGGTCGGCCGGAGGTGGATGTTTCATTTTTTATTTGGATGGGGTGCAAAAAGCTTAATGGATGGTTAGTAAACATTCTTGAATCTGTGTGCTCGTGTTAAAACTCACTTATAACCTTTTAGTTGGTGGAAATCAAGTTGAATGGTAAATGCCAGCGTGCTTATACACTTCATACGAAAGATGATATTTCATTAGGTAGTCACACTGCTTAGTAGAGAAGATAGTGCATTTTATCTTTTATCTGTCTAACATATATAAGTTTCTGCTCGTGTTAATTGCACTACTTGGGGAAATCAATTTTGTCCATGCTATATGTAAAACCCTAAAAATTTGAATATTTTATAATAAATAATAATAAATATGTTATATTATGATAAATGATATTTATTACTGTTTTAGTATGCTAGGAATTGACTTGAGATCAATTCAATGTATATATGTGAATATAGAAGTGATATCATGCACACGTGCACGGGCCTGAATCTGGGAAAAACGACCAGTTGAAAGTATATGTATTTTACACACGTGCACGGGCCTGAATCTGGAAAAAACGACCAGTTGAAAGTATATGTATTTTACACACCGACTCAGTTGGAATCTGAAAAAACTTAAAATACAAAAGTTGTAGGTATCTTCAAGAGCTTTCCAACAAATCTTATATCATCTCATTCCGAGGTCGGACGTGAAAATTATGGCCAAAATACCGAATGTTATTTTCCTAGTCAGACTAGGTTTCCTGGTTCGGGTCAAACATGTTTGTTTCGGGTTTGCCTCTATAAATACCTGTGTTTTTCACGAAAATTCCTCTCTTTTATCATATCTATGAACCCTATCAGCCATCCTCTCCTCTCAAAAACCCTAGATCTTTTTCTTCTGAATTTTGAGAGCTTTGTGAAGCACCATACCGACACGAGGACGAGATCTTCGACGTGTGACAAGGGAGAACGGGTTGTTTGTGCTCGTGGATTGCTTGCTGTTTATTTTAGAGGCTTAGAACAACGTTTGAGGCAAGATTATTTTTATCCAAACCCATCCCCATAGTTAATTAACTAGTTAAGATGTTTAATATGTGTTTTCATGTTTAAATCTTAACTTGTGATGTTAAAAATCAGATTTCTTTTTTATGTTAAAACTTAAATCAATGCTAGATTAGTAATCTTTTCTTGCTGTTTAAGATAGTATCATGATCATGATCATTAGGGTTATTCATAATTTCGTTTATATATGAGAAATTTAAGAGATGTACTAAACATATATTTTCTGCAGAAAACTGCAGCACTTGTATAATCTTTAACTGAGATTTTGAGATATCAAATAAACACCAAATTTAACCAAATCAGTTCCAAATGAAAGCTATATGTATCTAGTTTCTAAAACAAAAAACTATTCTTAAAAACAGTTTGTATAGAGAAATATATGTTCTTTTACTAACAACATGTCCTACAGAAAAAGCTGCTGCACATATATAATGTTTAACTTGAGATTTAGGATAACAAATAAACTCCAAACTGAACCAAACTTGTGCTAATTGAAAGATGTGTGAATCTAGTTTTCAAAACAGAAAACCATTTCTAAAAATAGTTTTCCTAGAGAAAGATATGCTCGTTTTACTAACAGAAGTCCCGTCTGTTTTCCTGCTCGTTTTGTGAAGCTGTGTTGCGCCGTTTTGAGATGCGTTCGTGGAGTTTTGAGCCGCTTAATGTTACACGTATAGTCATGAATATGTTGTGTTACGCATTTGAGAATGCCAAGGGGATTATGATGAGTTTTGATTTGATCATATTCGAATTAGATATCGTTCATACACATGTTGGATGTCGTTGATGAACACAGCTCAGTACTATATGGGATAGTACGTCGACATACCAGATATACACAGTTTATACATGAGGTGTATATCATTGATGAGCTCAGTTCAGTACTACATAAGGTAGTGCGTCGATATTCCACATGTACAAGCCATTGAGTCGGATTTTAGGAGGCTTGATCTAGCCGTCTGTCCCGTAATAAGGTGCGATGAGGCTCGTGAGCCGTATTTCTAGGAGCCTATTTGGTAGTCCGTCTCGTACTCATGTTACGCACTGAGATCGCGATGAGACTAATGAGTCGTGTACACAGTTTAGGATACCTACAGGGTAATCCGTTGCACTGAGATAATTACTTGATAGCCTAAATGTGTCAGATGTAGGTTATGGATACTACCTATCACTGAACTATATGACTGAGATACGTTATTTTTGAAAGTATACAAAATTATGTGTTGGTATTTTATTCTATCTCCCCAGTGATAGTGAAAGATATTATAAATACGATGTGTTGACGTCTTATTTTTTTTACTGTCTTCTTTACTTCTTAGTTAGGATCAATGATTAGAGATTCACAACTTGAGACATATGATATATATATGAGGGTTTACTTGTTTGGATTATTTCGCTCGACGTACCAGTCTCGTGTTGTGGAGTTTCCAATTGTTGGTTTTATTAGATTATCGTTTCTTAGTTCGGTATTAATGTTTAGATATCTACAATTTGAGGCTTATGGTATATACAAGAGGGTTTTCTTGTTTGGATTATTTCGCTCGACGTACTACGTCTCGTGTTGTAGGTTTCTAAATATTAATCCCACTTAGATACGGGAAAAATAAATCTAGGTAGACTATGCTTAATAGATAGAACCTTTACTCCATCTAGCAGTCCTTTCCCTGGGGACGGATGAAGGTAATCTTGCTGTAGTGTTCTGACGTTCTTGCTGTTGTTCTTTTTCTTTTAAATTACTTTTCAGGTAGTTCGGAGTTTCGAAGAGCCGCAGGGTGACGGAATTCTGGCATAGTCGCCGTCGCGTATTTTTACTTATAGAAACTTCACTGTAGTTTTGAGTTTCATTCAGACATTAGAGTTTCATATTCATATTGTAAAGGCAGTGTGTCTTAGTACGATTTTTAGTTGATTCATGTTGAGACATTTTCATTATTCAGATATCAGATATATTATAGTTGAGACATGATTCTTTCTATTTATGAGATATCTCTTCTATATCATGTCTATTAAATTCATTAGTCAGACTAGGTTTTTTGATTCGGGTCAAACAAGTTTGTTTCAGGTTTGTCTCTATAAATACCTGTGTTTTTCACGAAAATTCCTCTCTTTTATCATATCTATGAACCCTAGCAGCCATCCTCTCCCATCAAAAACCCTAGATCTTTTTCTTCTGAATTTTGAGAGCTTTGTGAAGCAAAATACCGACACGAGGACGAGATCTACGACGTGTGATAATGGAGAACGGGTTGTTTATGCTCGTGGATTGCTTGCTGTTTATTTCAGAGGCTTAGAACGACGTTTGATGCAATATTATCTTCATCCAAACCCATCCCCATAGTTAAATAACTAGTTTAGATGTTTAATATGTGTTTTCATGTTTAAATCTTAACTTGTGATGTTAAAAATCTGATTTTTTTTTATGTTAAAACTTAAACCAATGCTAGATTAGTAATTTTTTCTTACTGTTTATGATAGTATCATGATCATAATCATTAGGGTTATTCATAACGAAATAAGAGATGTACTAAATATATATTTTCTGCAGAAAACTGTAGCACTTATATAATCTTTAACCGAGATTTTGAGATATCAAATAAACACAAAAATTTAACCAAATCAGTTCCAAATGAAAGCTATATGTATCTAGTTTTTAAAACAGAAAACTATTCTTAAAAACAGTTTGTATAGAGAAAGATATGTTTTTTTTACTAACAATATGTTCTGCAGAAAAAACTGCTGCACATGTATAATGTTTAACTGGAGATTTGGGATAACAAAAAAACTCCAAACTGAACCAAACTTGTACTAATTAAAAGATGTGTGAATCTAGTTTTCAAAACAGAAAACCATTTCTAAAAATGATTTTCCTAGAGAAAGATATGCTCGTTTTACTAACAGAAGTCCCGTCTGTTTTCCTGCTCGTTTTGTGGAGCTATGTTGCGTCGTTTTGAGATGCGTTCGTGGAGTTTTGTTCCGCTTGATGTTACACGTATAGTCATGAATATGTTGTGTTATGCATTTGAGATTCTCAAAGGGATTATGATGAGTTTTGATTTGATCATATTCGAATTAGATATCGTTCATACACATGTTGGATGTCGTTGATGAGTACAGCTCAGTACTATATGGGATAATGCGTCGACATACCAGATATATACAGTTTATACATGAGGTGGATATCGTTGATGAGCTCAGTTCCGTACTATATAAGGTAGTGCATCGATATTCTACATGTACAAGCCATTGAGTCGGATTTTAGGAGGCTTGATCTGACCGTCCGTCCCGCACTAGGGTGCGATGAGGCTCGTGAGCCGTATTTCTAGGAGCCTATTTGGTTGTCCGTCCCGCACTCATGTTACGCACTGAGATCGCGATGAGACTAATGAGTCGTGTACACAGTTCAGGATATCTATAGGGTAGTCTGTTGTACTGAGATAATTACTTGATAGCCTCAGTGTGACAGATATAGGTTATGGATACGACCTATCACTGAACTATATGACTGAGATACGTTACTTTTGAAAGTATACAAAATTATGTGTTGGTATTTTATTCTATCTCCCCAGTGATAGTGGAAGATATTATAAATACGATGTGTTGATGTCTTATTTCTTTTACTGTCTTCTTTACTTCTTAGTTGGGATCAATGATTAGAGATTCACAACTTGAGACATATGGTATATATATGAGGGTTTACTTGTTTGGATTATTTCGCTCGACGTACCAGTCTCGTGTTGTGGATTTTTCAATTGTTAGTTTTATTAGATTATCTTTTCTTAGTTCGGTATTAATGTTTAGATATCTATAATTTGAGGCTTATGGTATATACATGAGAGTTTCTTTGTTTGGATTATTTCGTTCAACGTACTACATCTCGTATTGTAGGTTTCTAAATGTTAATCCCACTTAGATACAGGGAAAATAAATGTAGATAGACTATGCTTAATAGATAGAACCTTCACTCCATCTAGCAGCCCTTCCCTTGGGGACGGATGGAGGTAATCTTGCTATAGCGCTCTGACGCTCTTGCTGTTATTCTTTTTCTTTTAAATTACTTTTCAGGTAGTTCGGAGTTTCGGAGAGCCGCAGGGTGACGGAGTTCTGGCATAGTCGCCGTCGCGTATTTTTACTTGTAGAGACTCCACTGTAGTTTTGAGTTTCATTCAGACATTAGAGTTTCATATTCATATTGTAAAGGCAGTGTGACTTAGTACGATTTTTAGTTGATTCATGTTGAGACAATAAGACATTTTCATTATTCAGATATCAGATATATTATAGTTGAGACATGATTCTTTCTATTTATGAGATATCTCTTCTATATCATGTCTATTATATTTATTTCCTTTATTTTGCCTGTTTTGTACCTGCACTTCTATTTGGTTCCACTAGAGGATATTGATGTGATTGGTGAAACGTGTTTATGCACAGTGTAGGTGCATGAAAGTTTGGCATCTCTGGTTTCACCTTAGACTGTAGCCTTGTGTGAACCCAGGGGCGTCACACTATACCCATATTCTAGGTATCCCAAGATTTGGCGCATTTGTGCATCCATGTTATGTTTGTGCAACTGTGCAACTGTGCAACATAACTTCATATGTAACAGCCTATCATAAAAAACGTCCTCGTTTCATTTTGCATTATTTTTTTCATGCATGCTAGTGAGCAGTGGCATAGCCAATAATGTCCTTGTTTTTGTGGAATTGGGGCGGGGTTGTTTAAAATCAATGACCATATTAGATAATTATCAAGACCATTTCTTAGAGAAAGGATAGGGTCTTAAACACAGAATTCTCAACCGATAGTAGAAAACAAAGAAAAGAAAATTCAAATATATAGTTATTCAAAACATAATTAATCCAAAACTCATGATCTGGATAGGTAGTTGTTGTAAAATAAATAGTCTAAGTTTTGAAGACTAGAGTTTTATATTGATAAGTGGAAAATTTTTATCTGATTTTAGATTATTGACCAAAAGAGCAAAAACAACGGAAAAGAAGGAAAAATGACGCTACTTAACTTAGTACTTGCAATGTATATTTTGATGTTCATTAGAAAAAATTGATATGTTATGTTATACCATTATAAACATATGTGTAAATCACTTATCTCTAACTTCATGCTATTATTTATCAAATTCTTCCAAAATGTACTTACGTCCAAAAAATAGAAAGTAGTTTATTTCATAGCATTTATGCCCTTCAGTTCTTTTTACATATGTAGTCCCTTAAATCATTAATATTCTGAATAAGCCCTTCAAATCATTATAATTAGGCCCCTAATTCTTATATCTTGTTGTTGCCATCCCTAATTGGAGAGATTGATTTGAAACAACTTGTAAGGCCTGGATACCTAACAACAATTTCAATTATTTGAGACTAATTTTGAAATAAGTAACGGAACAACTTTTAAGAATTGTGGACCTTGATAACAATTTTAATGGCTTGGCGTACTAATTTCTAATATTAAAGATCTAAGGGACTAACATCTTAAAGTTCCCGCTTTCTTTGCTCTGCCTAGAATACTGAGCTGCAACCAATCCCACTCACTCATCTATATTGAATTCTCCAATTACTGATCTCATTATGTTTTTCATCGAGAAAATACTGAACTCATTGTGTTAATTATGGAAAACCACTAGCTTTCTTCTCTATGCTCTATTTTTTTTTTTTTGGGGGGGGGGGGGGGGGGGGGGGTGAACCCCGTCCCTCTGCCACTGCAAGCAAGACAGGAAATTTCATCAATATTTTTCGCGCATTTATTTGAAATTCCTTTTCTTGAAAAAATGACCATGGAATGCAAGATATTTTGACATTACAATTAAGTAGATAAACTAACCTTTCATTTGGCACTGGCATCCATTTCAGGGGATCTTTCAAAGCGTTTATGTACTGCAGCAGAAGTCAAACTGTATTTCAACAGTTTCTTGCAAAATGAGGTTCAGAAGTTTGTAAGACCCAACAAGAACTGTAATTTGACCTCTTGGGTTTCTGGATGCGAGCCTGGATGGGCATGCAGTGTTGGCAAAGATGTGAAAGTCGACCTTAAAGATGACAAGAAGATACCTACGAGAACGCATAACTGCAGTGCTTGTTGTGAGGGTTTCTTTTGTCCTCAGGGTCTTACTTGCATGATACGTAAGTATAATACTGTTGTTGTTGTCACTTAATAATTCACTGAATATTACACTAGATCCCTTCTCTGGAAGTATCTTTCATGGCAGCCTGTTGCTGTTTAAAGTTGATTGTTTGCTTTGGATAAATATTGTTGCATAATCCTATGAACTGAATTTGAATCCCTAGCAGATTGGATTTAATTTATTCTTTCACAGTTCTTAATGATGTTATACAAAATTAATTGACATGTTGTTAAATATACCTGAGCTATCATATTTTATATTTCCTCGACTTTTTCCTGCTGGATTAATTTTTGTCATTCTGCAGAAATATGTTATCAAGTAAGACTGTATATTTTTGTTCTGTTTATGCTCTAGGATTTAATAATCTTTATTGTGGTTTGGCATGAGCTCTAATTCTATATTACCCTTAGTGTCCCATATTATATTATTGTTCCGGATAAGAATGTAACATGTCCTATAAAGTGAATTGGAGAGTTTTTTTTAAAAATAAAATAAAATGTAGCATGTCGATACACCACGTAATAATGCATAACACTATTGTTTCGTATATATGAAAAGCATGGAAAGTAAGAGTATAAGAATGAGCAATATACTATCAAGATGCAGAAAGATAAAGAAAAACTTTAACCTTGTTAAATTTAAGCAGCAGAAGGCTATGAGAATTTAAATAAAGGGTCAGGTATAGGAAAAATAATGCGAAGAACTTTAAATGCTATTGAGATAAAAAAGGAGAAGGTTTGAGATTGCAATCATAAGGTATATTAAGAATCTGCAATAGTAAGTGAATTAGAAACTAATAGTTTCTCTTTCATTGGCAAGTTGCAAAGACTGAACTCTAAACAGTTGGCTTCTTGTAAGGTAAGTTTATCACTCTGACTTTCTATGCGAACACGTGTTTTGGTGTGTGAGTGGACATGCATGTTTATATGCATGGATGACAGAAGATTCGAGATCTTCGACTGGCAATTAACTCAAGCAATCTTCCGCCTAAAGATTATTTAATTGACTCAAGGAAGGAACGAGAAATAAATTTTTCTGCAGCATTGTTGAATGGCTGAAATAAGACGTTACCCTAAGCTAGTCTTTATATAGTTTTGTCAATCAAAATATTTATCTTTAAGATCTCTGGGCCAGTGAACTTCTTCCAATTTTTGGCAGCAAACAATTAGTTGCTAATGATAAGCATCCTTGTGATAATGCTGACAGAAAAAGTGTCTGAATCATCATTCAAAGTCCTAATCTCTGGCCCCTTCTTTGGTGCTACTTTTCTGAGGATATTCACATATTTATTTTTTTTACCTTGCAAGCAGTGAGCTGTAAGGAGAGTTGCATTAGTCATTTAGTCAGTCGTTAACTTAAATATTCTCAGGATTTACATGCTTTCATCTTTATCTGAAAATTCTATATATAATTGAATTTTTCGAAGTGTTTCTAATTTGCTTTCTTTTTCCTCAAATGAAGCTTGTCCTCTTGGTGCATATTGCCCACTTGCAACTTTGAACAAGACTACTGGCATTTGTGATCCGTAAGTTAATACATTCTTTCAGGTTTCACATCACTATTTTCATTATTTTCTTTTCACACATGACAGGCCTTTTGAGTACTGCTAGTAAAATTATGCAGATATAACTATCAGCTACCTCCAGGACAAACAAATCACTCTTGTGGTAGTGCAGATAGGTGGGCTGATGTTTTAAGTAGCGATGAAGTATTTTGTCCTGCTGGATACTATTGTCCAACCACCATTCAAAAGATTTCTTGCAGTCGTGGGTATTGCTTTATCCTTTACATTTTCATCCTACACTCCTTGCTGTGCGTTTCAATTGTAATAGAAGTTTCCAGCAATGATGTAGTTATGTTGATAAGTTAGCATCATATTTGACATGTTTTGTGTCTTTTTATGAGTTTGCAATTATTACTTACTATTTGCATATTATTTTTTTATGTTTCAGACATTATTGCAGGAAGGGTTCTACTGCCCAAAACAGTAAGTATCGCTTGTTATTCAATCCTTTTCTCACCATCAGCTGTGTTATATTTGATGTGACTGAGATACAAAACTAAGTCTGTGGCATGGTGGTCAAAGGGATTTGCAATTGGATGTACTTTTTAGTTCATTCATACTCAAAGTAGTTCAAAACATGTGGGCACAAACACAGATGCGGATATGCACACACAAATTCTTGGGCTTGATTACACTTCTACCATCCAGATCATTCCTAAAAGTATGACTTGAAAATCTCCTATCTCTTCCTATAATGTCATGATTTGCCATCATTGGCTTAGTATTAAATCATTGTTATTAGTGGTATCTGTCACATCCAGATTGCAACAGTGCACTTAAAATCTAATATAATGACCAATACCTAGAATTATTCAATGATACTTCAATTCTTTGTTAACTTGTGCATTTATGAGCGAAGAGAAGTGCATATTCTAGTTTTGGAGATGCACACACATAAATTGAGAAAGTGTGCACTACATTAGGTGTAACTTAGGAGTTTATGTGTTCTAGAAATCCAACTAGTCATGAGAATGGATGATGTGAATAGTTTGTTATGATCTATACATCATTGTTTTAGTCTTTTCCATCAAAATGGCGTCAAGTAATTGAATCAAAGAAAGTTCGACAACAGCTTAGAATTGGCTTTCTTGGTCATCAATGAGAAATATATGAATAGGAGAGCTAACTAGGCATAAGTATGAGATTACGAAATTGACAGTAATATCTCTTATTAGTTATATAGTTTGTGCATGTGCGGTGAACAAGCAACCTCCAACTTTCCTCTAGGTCTAGTAATGTTTAAGATTCAGTGTTCATTTTGTTCTTCTAGGTTTTCTTTATCCTATATGTCTGAAGACTTGCTAGAACAAAGAGGTAGAAGACCGTTTCTAACTAATGAATCATGCATGCCAAAAACCAAAATAAGAGACTTACAAGATCCTTTCAACCATTCATTTTAATGCCATGGGATGCGTAGGCGAGAATGTTTGGTAATCGTTGTTTTAGTTGACATGAGTTATAAAGTGCATGGATCACAATGATTTATATCATCATCTTGAGAAGAAAACACATACTGCTAAAGTGACGCCTTTTGCATGTTGTTTATAAAGATACAAACATCCATACATGTCTATGATCATTATTGTATTGCAGACAAACAAATTAACACATGAATAACTTGAATCCTTATATAATTAATTTAAAGATTTTGCCTAAAATCACATTGCAGACAGTTCAGCTGATGATTGACTCTTTTCTGGGATGTGTGTGTGAGAAACGGGTGGGGGTTTTGAGCTGGGAGGGGGGGTTATAGTTAGTCGAACTAAGGAGCTGAAAACCTTTGGAAAGATAATTTTTTAAAGTACCAACTTGAAAGTGCCTAACTGTAAATCCAAATTCCAGTTTTGAAGCACAAGTATGATTCAGTTTCATCTCCCAAGTTATTCCATTCTTTGACTGGACATTATGGAGGAGAATAGATATGTGAATAGAGAGATCTATCCCCTTCGTCTCAATCTCCCTTCTAAAAGTTAGTTATGACTACAATAATTATTTTTAGTACACCAAATATTTATTTAGTTATTAGTGTAGAGAAATAAAAAAAAGCCAAGATAATATTCATTAAACCTAACCTCTCTTAAATAGATGTTAGGAGGATATTGTAAAATAGGTATGAGATTTAATCATATCCAATCATTATCTCCCAATATCTCAACAATATCTCATAATATATTCCTTAACCCTCCCCCTTAAACCGAAGCATGTATATCATGCATGTCGAGCTTGTTACAAATAAAGTGCACACACTCTAATATGTGACTATGCTTCAAAAACTCAAAGTAGTCTTGATCTTTTTATCTTTCACTTAGATGTCTTCAAAGCAGCTGATCTCCTCTAGGGCTCTACCGATCAAATGATCCTTGAAGGATCCAACAACAAATGATCTTTTCAATCCTTTTTAGGATCCAACAACTAATGATGATTTCTTGAAAGATCCAACAACAAATAAAATTTTTCAGGATCTAACAAGTGATCCTTTCTTGAAAGATCCAATAACAAATGATCTTTTTTTAGGATCTAACAACAAATGATTTTTTTTAAGGATCTGACAAACTAATGATCTAAAAGGTGGAGTTGACTTTGGGCTTAAGCAAAGATCAATGAGGCATATGTCGATGAGAGCAGATGAGAGCGAAGTCAGCTCTGATCGGAGTGGATGGTACACAGTAATCCGTGAGTGAATAGTAACCCATAGACATGAACAATATCGGCATACAGATGAACAATACTTGATTAAACAGTACCAACATCAACTTCCTGAACAGTACTGATAGATAGTGAATCAATATCGAGATCGCCGATGGGAAGCACGTTGTCTTCGACAAAAACCCCCTCGGTAGCTCGATGTCGATGAAGAAAGAGGTCTCTCTAAGATCAACAAGATAGCTCTGATGCTATATAGAGAAATAAAAAAAATCAAGATATTATTCATCTAACACTAGCCTCTCTTAAATAGAGGTTAAGAGGATATTATAAAATAAGTATGAGATGAAATTATGTCTAATCATATCTCCTAATATCTCAACAATATCTCAACAATATCTCATAATATATTCCTTAACAATTAGCAGCGCTGCTAGTAATCAAGGGTTTATATATAAGATATTTGGGAGATGGCCAAAATTCATATCGGATTGCGGATATCGGGAAAATAACGAGAATATATAATAAACATCGGAATGTCATAAGGGGTGTTTACATATGTAGTCTTAACATACGTAATGAAATTTAAGCATACAAAATGTAAGTAATATATGTTTAACATAATTATCAACCTTGTAAAATAAACAAAAGTAAAACTCAATATTGCAACATTTCCTCTGATTTTTTAGGCAATATTGTCATTTTATATGATGGGAACGTCATGATATCTTGCCCAAAAATTACCAAATACGGTATATTGTTTCGCGACAAGCTATATAAAGGGATATATCGCTCAACATATCAGCTGATATATCAGCGATATCGGGAATATATTGCCAAAAATAGTCAAAAACGGTAAAGGATATTTAGAGACCATGTCGGTTGCGGCAAGCTCTGTAAAAGAATATATTGGAGGATATATTAGGTCATGTCGGGGTTATTTGAAACAATGCTAATAATGCAATTATAACTAGTAGTACAAATATGACTATATGCAATAAAGTTATTTTCCATTATTCCCACAAGGTAATTATTATATATTAAATCATTAAATTTTTCATAAATATGTTTTTTCTATTATTAAACATAAAATATTATTTATTATAGAACATGCGGTAATATCATGCAAAAACTATTTATTGATATAATAATAATTAAAGCAATTTACATTTAGTTTAGTCAAGAAATATTAGTTACACCATTACTGATAACTAAATAAATATATAAATAGATAGATCTATCCCCTTCCTCTCAATATCCATGCTAAAAGCTAGTTTTGAATACAATAATTATTTTTAATATAGTAAGTATTTATTTAGTTATTAGCAGCACTGCTTATAATGCAGCAATAACTAGCAGTACAAATATGACTATATGCCATAAAATTATTTTCCATTGTTTCTCCAAGGTAATTATTATGTATTAAATCATTAATTTTTTGGTTTGATTCGTAAATATATATTTTCTATTAGTAAAACATAAAATATTTATTATTGTAGAACATATTGTAATATCATCTAAAAACTATTTATTGATATAATAATAGTTAAAGCAATTCAAATTCAGTTTAGTCAAGAAGTAATCACTAATAACAAAACAAATATATTATAACATTTAAAATGACACCATTATTTTGTTGATCTAGTTAATAAATATTTATCAATCTATAATGATGTGAATTTGCTTGAGCCACCAAGTATGTATTAGGATGGATGGTTTCTTATTGTATTGGTGATATTACATGTAGCAATGATTTATCAATAGCATATTCAAAATGCCCAAACTATTTATTTATACTAATTATGCAACCATTATTTAGTTTTGCTTTAATATAAAAATTTAAAAATTAATAAAACTAAAGCATCATATCAAATGAAGGCCTAAAGGATGTGTTCGAGGTTTTGCTGGAATTTGGAACTATTCCTGCACATCCTATGTTATCCGCAATTATCCCCATTTTAGAAAAAGGTTCCACTGAGAGAATTATCCCTGATCTAGTCGCATGTTTCAGTTGACCAACATGCCCTACTGGTTATCTAGGAAAAAGATTAGCGCTTCTGATATACATTCATGTGTACTTTTCTATTTGTATGCACTTCATGGTTTATAGATAAGCAATGTAACTTCCATTTAGATAGCTCATCATGCGATCTGTTAGACGCGAATAAACCTTATGCAGAGTGTTTCCATGGAGTCCTAAGAGCTAGCTTCCTTAGGATGCAATAATCCTTACTATGGGTATTCATGTGCCTATATTTGTTTTTTGTTCAAATACATAGTTCGGAAACGACCAATAAAATGGGGAAAAAATCAAAATCTTTTACTGAATTTCATTTGAACTTAACTAGTTAAGGCTAACTGATCCTAATTAGTTAGCAGAAAAGTTTATGTACAGCTGTATATTTATTAGGAATTGTTCATGCTGGACATAAAAGTTTCTTGATTTTTTATGAAGCATTGATAGATGATTACCAGTGAAGCATCTATAAACCATTTGAAAGGACTTTAAAGTGGATGCTTCTTTATAGTTTAACGTCAATTAACTTATGAAGATAGTCTATTCAGAAAAGGACACTGAAGATAACTTTGATAAAGAATTTTTATACTAATCATTTTTACAGTATTTTTAGACATACGAATGCATAAGGCTTTTGTTAAGGGACTGATGTTTACTATATGTCTTTATGCTATATGGAGTTTTTGGCAGAGCTGTTATAAGCATGAAAAATGATTGGTGACATAGATTTTAGTAAAATTAATGCAGGACATGAATGTACCCAGATGCGAATATATAGAGATGAAAAATGCATGAAAGATATAGATGTTTTCAAAGCATAATTTGTATGACAATGTAAAGTTTGTAAATGTTCAGTTGGGTGTAGAAGAATGGGAAAGTAGTAGTTCTTAGGTTATTGTATTGTGAGCTTATCATACCGTTAATAAAAATAATGAGCTTTTGTTTGCTCTAGAAAAAACTTAATTTGGTAGGTTCCCCATATACTACATTTTATAAAATGATTCTCTTTATCAGAGTAAGTGAAATGTTATAATTTTTATGACCCAACCTATTTATTTTCTTATAATAAATGCTTACTATAACATATAAAATAAACAAGGCATCTGAACATAGCTTATTAAATTTTAACAGGTTTACTTGGAGTCAACAAACTTCAATATTCGATCTTTACTAATATATAAAGCAAGCATCATGAATCTTCAATAGACTTCAACATTCGAACTTTACTAATAGATAAAGCAAGACATCATGAATTTTAAATGTGAGCTCATTAATATGTTCCAAATGTTTGCACAATATAGAGTAAACTTGCAAAATGCAGCCAATGGCAACTGAAGGTAGGTGAACTTCACTTATTAAATTTTGGTTAGTATGTAAGCGTAGTAGCTGATTTGATAACAGACAAGACATTTAAAGGACTGATAGAGATTTTATCTAACATATCTAAAAGTAAATAAAAATTTGTGTTTCACATTGTAATAAATGCAATGCAGTCAATGTTTTAAAAATAGGCCGATTTTATGGATATATCGCCGATGTATAGGGTTTGGACGATTGCCGATATGATTTCTCGAAAATTAAATAGGTTATCGTTTTTCACCAATTTTCTTTGATATATCGGTGAGAATCCGATTAATAGGCCATTTTTTATAGGGTTTAAATCGGCCAATTTTGTTAGAAAAAACATCCTAACTACTTATTGGCGTTTGGGTGTCAAAATCCTTAATTTTCAAACCTGAACTTGACCCCCTAAATAAAATCAAAACCACCAATCCGACTCATTGTTTCTTATTGCGTTTAGAGCAATTAGTCCAAATTTCTTTTCACCTGCTTCGCTCTCCTCAAATTCATCGCTCTATTATTCTGAGTCTTTCTCGAAGGCGTTTTGGTATGTTCACATTTTAGTAAGTGTGCTTAGATTACATTTTATGACAATATATTATAAATGCTCACCATTCGATATGACACTCTGATTTTTACTACTTATGCCCGATATATCCCGATAACCGCAATCTGATATAAATTTTGGCCATCCGATATATATTTTCGATAAAACTGATATTTAAAACGTTGAATGCAGTCCGGTGTAATAAATGGAAAATAGTTCATTTACGATTTCATCCTTAAACAGGTACCACAATGTCTAATATTTTTCCATGGTGTTTTTCCTTTTTCTTGTCATTTTCTGTTCTACCTTCGCCTTTTGCCATGGTATTTCTTAAATAAACTTTTCTAAAAAATAAAAACATGGACACCATTGGTGTCTACTCTGTCCATCTGCAAATTGAGTTAATTTAAATTAGTCTGGATGGTAATGTAAATTTATCACCATTGAGCGCTATTCTTAGACCTTGTCTCCATAAGTGACCTAAAGAAGTAACTCCAGAAATATTATTGAAAGATAGTGATATCTTAGTATCCTGCCTTCATAAATAGAGGGTGCACACTGCCATGCAGCTATGTATTCAAACATAATATTTTATGAACAATGGAGGAAAATCTCCAATATCATAAATTAATAAATGATTTGTTTGATATTCTAATCTCTCTTAAAAGGTGGATGTTCTTAGACTCTTAAACATCACACAACTATCATATGCTAAATCATTAGTCAAGTAATCCGATACTGTGCATATGTTTAGAGTAAAACTCTTGTAAATGTAAGTGGATAAGAGTTCTTGTCCACCCACTTTTTTATCCATTGAATTTGCTTTGAGATTTGTGCTAGTATGTAATAAAGATCTAGGTGCACATCTTAAAGAGAAGCATTGGTGAATAGCATGAATCTCAAAGCAAAAATCAAGGGATTAAAAAGTCGGAGGACAAGAGCTCCTATCAACTTAAGTTTATTCTAGCTTTACTTCATATATGAGTGCTTTACACCATATATTTGTAACTGGTTTAAGTTTAGCTTCCTCTATTTCTGTTTAATTAATAACATTTATAATGATTGCATTAACTAGGAACTTCTCTTTCTCTCACACTTTGCTTGCTCTTGATTAAAGTTCATATGTGCTTGCAGAGTGCTTTAATAAGGGTTCATGTAAGCCAAATTCTACCAATCAGAATATCACTGTATTTGGCGTTCTCTTAGTAGTAAGTAATTTTTTTTGTGATTATTATATTTACTTTCTGATACATTGGCTTACTATCAGATACATACATGTTTTGCAAATGGGTGGATTATAATCTACTATTGTTGTCAATATTGTTGTCAAAATGATTGGAAAGGAGTTGATGGGTGAGTTGATAAATGGGCTGGGAGTTTGTGAAATCATGAGGGAGTAAACTTATCTTTTACTTGGTCAAACTTCACGGATTATAATCCACCGAAAAATAAGCTTGGATACCCTAGCCTATTTTTTGGTGGATTATAATCCAAACTAATCCACTTGCCAAACACCCAAAACTAAGTCGATTATAATCTACAAAAGTGGATAACAATCTTCTTTGACCATTTACTAGACATGCTCTTAGTTGTAAAATCGTCACATTCATCTCACTACAATATCTATTACTATTAATAAAGAAAAGTCATCATTTTGGTTTTAACTTTTTGGTGTTAGTCACGAATTCAAATAATTCCATAAAATATCCTTAACAATTTGTACTACATTCACAGCAATGGAAAGGGCAAACATGGAAAGCAATTAGGTTATTTGCATTTTTTCTCACCCATGAAACTCACTAATGCAATCCTTCGCAAGAATGAAATGCTAAATAGAGGCAGAATGATCACTGATTGATTCAACAGAATGAAATAAAAAAAAACCTTATAGTTTGAACAAGGCTTATAAAAAAAAACCTTATAGTTTGAACAAGGCTTGATTAATTGTCATGCAGGCAACACATTCGTTTGGGATGCCTTTTTCATGCTTATTTAAATTTTATAGAAAAAGTAAGCACTGGATACAGTCAATTTATGGACATTTTGTTTGAAGTTTGAAAAGTAAGTTAATAGAAACAAAATCGCATTTCGTAAGTGCTATGTTCGAATAATACTTGTCTAAAATAAGTTAACTTAAAATTGATTCCTATGTGAAAATTTTGGAGGAAAATATGCTGCTTAGGAAAAAATTGGTGTTATAATGCATTATTATTTTGTGAATTTTGTTATATTTATATAAATTTGCCATTAGTTTTTTTCTTACAAATTCTATTAAACATAAATATATGTTATGTCATTTTTTTGCAATAATTTTTAATAGAATATTTATATTAGGAAAATAATTAAAGTTTTATTATCCATTTTTATTATGCACAAATGTGTCTGTGACATGCATGCATTGCGTGCTCAGGAAGACTAGAAATTTTTTGCATTTAGGTGTGAGCTAAGTTGCATGGAAACGGGCACGGGTACTGGTACGGGTGCGGGTGCGGGTACGGGACACGGCAAAACTGTAAAATGTAGGGTACGGGGACACCACTACATATATGTATTGAATTAATACTGTACATAAGATACTTTTTTCCCCTTTATGTGTCATTAGAATCAAAATTCCGATCACATTTTTGAGTTTCTTTTATCATATTGATTATCGTGAATTGTAAACTACTCATTTTTATCATATTGATTATCGTGAATTGTAAACTACTCATTTTTTTACTAGACATCTAAACGACCCATTAACTATATAGTTTTTTTTACTAGACATCTAAACGACCCATTAACTATATAGTTTTAAACTTGGGTATGGACTGAAATGAATCTGACCCATATCTCATTAGTTTCAAAAGACGGATGTGAAGTGTAAGCTCTACGTCCAGGAAGTCTTTGCCAAGTGTTTTAAATTAACACATATATCGTATAATTGAGTACACGTTATAATAAATGCATGCATATATTCAAGAAGTGTCCATGAAGTTTGGGTACAGGAAAGTATCGGGTACGTGTCCGGTACGGGTACGACTTCATTATAGAAGTACCTGGGTAACATAGGGTGTGGGTATCAATTCCTTTAATTTCTCACAAATATTTACTGTATCCAGCACGCATCTTGTGTAGTGGAATACTAGTTTTCTTTTAAGATAATATCAAAGGTATATATTATAGTGGAACTTAGTTTGCGTAGAACTATGCTTTTGCTTTTGTTTGAAAGGTTTGATACCAAACTGAGGACCACATAATCTTGCAACATCATACCCACTTGACACCAGACAACACAATCCCTTAAATGTCATATCTCTCCAGTCAATTTCCCTTGTACACTTTTAGATGGTTGATGTAACAGGATATAATCTATTAGCATAGGTAATATATTGGGAAAGTTAAAGAATGTTTAAGATTGGATAGTTGCAGTTATATGCTTTAAACTCATGAAATGTAGCCAACTCTCTGGTATCCAATCACTTGCTATCCTAATATTGTGTTAAAGCATAAGTTCCAACTCTAAAAATCTCATTTCTTAAGCCTAAAACACCATCCTCTTGGTTCAAGCAACATTTTACACTCTCCGTCGATGGCTTGGTTATCTTCCCAACTCCACCGTCACAGACGCTCTGAACTAATCAATCAAAAATTCGTTGTTACCTTCCCCTCAATTTCCCCTAAGTACAGGGCTTTTGTGCAGGTTCAGTGGGAGATAATCCAAATTGGAGAGAGATCTTTCAATTATTTCTCCAGTTTTTCAAGTTGGATTCTCTTATGCTGAGCCCGCAACAAAACTCACATGTTGATAGTAACTATGGAATTCCCTCCATAAAAAAGGACTGATTTAAACCTGATCAGCTTCCTTTATATACTGCTGCTAACTTATTTCTACTCCAGCCACCTTGCTACTATTTATCTCCATGTATGAGACCCTACTACATGTTTACATGGCTGAGATCCTTCTATTGGCCTCCATATCAGAGACCTAATCTAATTCTTAAGAGGACTACATGTCAAATCCAATATTCTTCATCTACCTTCATGTCTAAGTGCATGTCTGCATAATCCAAGAGCTTACCATCTCAATATCTGAAACCGAAGATGTTCATGATCTAGTGAGTCTTCAGTCAATAATGTTACTGACAAAACTGCTCAAGATTGGGAACAAGATAAGTGTTTAGTGCAGGTCAAGAAGACTGCGATCTCTTCTGTTATTTCCCATGACCGGGTTGACGATATTTTATAGCCCTCACTAGAAAAGATCTCTTTCGCTTTTATGTCACAGGATGGATGGTGATTGATATATATTCTCCAGTTCAAAGGGGCGTACTAAAGTAGTTAGTATATTGGAAAGGTTAAGATAAGTTTTTTTCAAGTTCCAAATTGAAAGATCGCAATTGTAGTGTATTCACTTTGCTAAAATCTGACTATTGCTGTTATTAGAATATCTTATCAGTCTTCTTAAAATGTAATTGTTATCTGATTGAGGCTTATATTTAGGATAAACTTTTTTGTGGTGTAGCCCATTGACCTATGGAAATTCATTTTGTAACATGTTTCTAGAATTACTTTACTTTTTTGCCCAGGGAAAAAATACGAAATTTCAGATGCTCCAATACTACCATCCTTCCTTTTTATGCAGCCAATGTGATTCTCTCTTTGAGTTAAACATGTTTGGAAGGTGCTGGGTAATATAGAGGATCTCCTACATTGACCAATAAACAGTTAGAATTATGTCATCCATGATGTATTATGTAACCATGTCTGTTAGTTATAGTTGAACTGTGCCTATTTTCTTACTGACGTGGTCTTGCAAGGCTTTGTGTGGATTTTGAGGCACCAAAACCGACTTCATAATCTTTTGTGGTCGAACTTCTTAATCTCAAACTTCACACCAAAATATTTTCTTACAAGGTTATCTTTATGAGTCCACAACCCTTCTCTAATCAAGATGCTCTAGACGGGATTCAAATTTATATTTTCAGTTAAAATATAAACCCGTGGTTATTGTGTTATCAATCTTAATGAAACATTTGTGATGGTTCTTAGATTCTTGTTGGTTTTAGAATCATAATTAATATTTAGGACTAGGAGTGCGTCCAGGGGTATTGGTTTTCTTACACCTTGTTTGGATGGAGGTTAATGGATGAAAGTTAAAGTGAAATTTCAATTTCACCTTGTTTGGGAGTTTTTTTGAGGGGTTAGAGGATGGAATGGAAGGTTAAATTTCCTTCCATTTTACTCCCCTCCAATTTGGGGGGTAGTGGATGGAATGGAAAAAACCAATGTAAAATTTTACAATGTGATAAGATAATTTTATCCTTATGATATTAAAATCAATGACTAAGATATACTCCCATCCAATATGTAAGGGTATTTATGTAACTTTATACATATGCACTTCACTTCCCTCTTCTTTATTAGAACTCTCAAACAAGATAAAACAAATTTGCTTCCGTTCCCCTTACTAAACTCCCAAACAATATTTTATCTTTTCACTTCCATTCCCTACCTTTCCTTTCCATTATTTAACTCTCCGTCCCTTCCCTTAGTAAACTCCCAAACAAAGCATTAGATTCATATTTCCATGATATAAGTTTTTGTATCTTTCGGTATGGTTGGATTCATTTATTTTTGGATTTTCTACTTTGACCTTTTCTTTGTTCTCCATTTATGATCAACATTACTTGCATGTCTTTCTCTGTTTCTAGCATATCTTAATTTCTTCTGATAAAAAGAAATTCCAATAAATTCATGCTCGAAACAGAATGCTTGAACATATCTTCTATGATAACATAAAATATAATATTTATTCAATTTTTTCTTTAACATTACTTATTTGTCAGAAAGAGAACATCTTTTGTCTACATGGACAATATTCTTAGCATTTTATTGCAGGACAACAGACTTTCCGTTTATTAGGCAACCTTAACTTTTTTCCTATTACTATCTGAAGACCTTTCCCCCTTTTTGAAGGTTGGACTGAGCTTGTTGCTACTGATTATATATAACTTCTCTGGCCAAGTTCTAACCAACCGTGAAAGGAAACAAGCAAAATCTAGAGAAAATGCTGCAAGAGTGGCTAGAGAAACTGCACAGGCACGTGAGAGGTGGAAATCAGCCAGAGATGTTGCAAAGAAAAGTGCAATTGGACTTCAGAGTCAATTATCTCGTACATTCTCTCGCAAACAAGCTCCCTCTCCCACGCCTCCAACTGCACCTCAGCAATCATCGAAAGCATCCACAACGAAAAGTAAGGAGACAAGTGATCTTATCAAAATGATGCATTCATTGGACGAGAACCCTGATAATGAAATGGGTTTGAATCTGAAAATTGGAGATAAAAACCTCAAGAAAAATGCTCCTAAAGGTAAACAGATGCATACTCGTAGCCAGATCTTTAAATATGCATATGGTCAAATTGAAAAAGAAAAAGCTATGCAGCAGCAAAATAAGAACTTGTCATTTACCGGAGTGATTTCTATGGCTACTGACGATGATATCAGAACTAGGCCTGTGATGGAGGTTGCCTTCAAGGACCTCACACTAACTCTCAAAAGGAACGGAAAAAAGATTCTTAGGTCTGTGACAGGGAAATTAATGCCTGGTCGTGTTGCTGCTCTCATGGGCCCATCTGGGGCAGGAAAGACTACATATCTTAGTGCTGTTTCAGGAAAGGTAACTGGATGCGAGGCAAGCGGTTTAGTTCTCATAAATGGAAAATTGGAGCCAATTCAGGCATACAGGAAGATTATTGGTTTTGTACCACAAGATGATATTGTGCATGGAAATTTGACTGTTGAGGAGAATCTTTGGTTCAGTGCTAAATGCAGGTACGAAGTGTTTATTTTTATATCATGTATATAAATTGGATATATTTGATGCTTTCTCAATGAGTTATTTCTGCTGAGACATGAAAATAGCAGCTTAATCTATAACTTACTGAAAAAGGACCATATTCCATATTTCAGTATGTTTCTGCTGAGACATGAAAATAGCAGTTTAATATATAAATTGCATAATCCGCTATATTGTGCTTTAATCTTTTTTGCATAGGAAAGAGTTGCTGAGGCCTAAATAACTGGATTTGTGGTAGCCATATTTAAAGCCTAAAACAGTATGTTTTTAATTGCAGCAATCCTCCTTCCCTCTTAGCTGCTTCTTACCTATAAGCTGGTTCAAATAGGAAAATACTGGGGAATCTTACCGGTGGTTTGTGATTATGATAATAGAGTAGTATCCAATCCTTTTCTACAGCACAGTATGAGTTTGCTCATAGAGTCATAGTCATAGCTAACCCATTCTTCAGGTAGGGATTGGTTGTCACATTTATTCATGTCAAATATTTTTATTTGCTGGTTGCACATTTGCAATGGAATCCATTGGGGAAAATCACTCTTTACTGTTATCATGTTTCCCTTGATATCCCGACTTCAGAACCCTAGACCAATCTGTTAATCCTTCTTCATATTGTAAGGCCTGAATTTTCATGTTTATATCATGTTGATTCTTTTAGCTGTAAGTAGTGTAATGATATGTTTATGTTTCTCACGAAAGGAAGAGACTCTTTTATTACTATGCTTATGTTCTCTCCCGAATACAGGTTTTTAATACTTATGGGCCGTTGGGTAGCCTACAACTGGACTAGTTGCAACTATAGTTGCATGCACCGAGACATTTTGCTAGTTGCAAGTGTTTGTTTCGGTGCAACTCACTACCAGTCCCTTAGTTGCAACATGCGACTTACGTGAAAGATGGCTACAAGTTACACTTCACCTTGAAATAACAATAATCTCTCTACATTGCAACCATAGTTGAACCTAAGTAAAAAATGAAGTGCAAAAAAAATGAAAAGAGCGCATTGCTTGCACAAGCAAAAATCCTTGTGCAGAAGGCCGAGGAGTTGAAGAAAGAAAGAGTGGCCAAAAAGCCGCCATTAACCCGCCAAGTGTGGAGACCGAAGCAGCCTCCAACCAAAGTTCAACTTCCTGTGAATCAACCAAAGTCGCCGGTAATCCCAATAGCTTCTCCGGGAGATCATGCAGAATCATCCCGAAGGAAGAAGCTAGTCCTAGAGCACCTCGGTCTGATTCCCGACGAGAGAGGCAAAGCTCCTGTTCAAGATCGTTTGGGCCCAATGAAGAAGCCCCGGACGACACAACATGCTGGGGGTCGTCGTCACCTCCAACTTAACGAAGAAACCAGGGCAGCTACGCGCACCAACTTGCGCATTGAAGTCCAGGAGCCCGCCGAGAACTCACGCCCAAAAAGGCATGTTTCGAGGCGCGTGACTTTCGAAAGCCCTAAGAAAGCAATTCCCCCTCAGAAGGAAACATTATCGTCTGATGACGATAGTGTTATACCTGAGAAGTCGTGCCAACACACGATAGGTTACTCCGATCGTCAAGCAGACGAGTTGTACTATCGTGCTGGGGGTACGAATAAAACCAGGAAAAGGAGTCCCCGAGAACAGGAAACTCAGTGCCCCTGTTCCAAACTCATTCGGGCAGTATTGTCTGAATGCAGCTGCATCAAGGCGGTCCCCGAACGAGTTTCGGTTTTCGAAAGACTTAGTACCGAAACGTCAAAACCAAGGCCTAGGCGTTTCCGACGAAGAAGAACGGTGGTTGAAGAGGAAGAACTTCCGAGGGTCACCACCAACATGACCAGTAGAGGGACATCGGCGCGGGACAATCTCGAATCGATTCTGAAAGCATCCCGGCCTAGAACCCGTCTGCAGTCTGGAACCATCGAGCGAGCAACCTATGGTAGGGTTCGGACAAGACTCCCTTCAGAAGATGAAGAATCTGATGCCGGCTCCGCGGTTGCATCAGATAATACGGTATCCAGCGAGGGACAGCCCCGCGAGGCACTTATGATAAGTGCGGAGCAAGTGGCCAAAATGCTTGAAGACGCCTTAGCTAAGCAGCAGGAAACCTTCAGGTTCGAAATGCAGATGGCCATGCAAAACATGAGAGAAATGCATGACCAACAAATCCAGGCATTGACGAACCAGCAAGGCGAGCCAAGTCATCGTAACCCGGTTAATCTGGAAGATGAGGACACAAATGCGAATGAGACGCATAATGCCAATAATCCTCCCGTCAATGCAGGGGGTGGTAATGAGAATATCAACGCAGACTCAGGTGAAAACTTGAAAATTAAAAATCTCTAGAGCAAAATCAATACATTGATTTCCGCTCAAGAGATGAAAAAGACGGGCATTCCTTGTCCATACCCAAGAGAGTGGGAATCAATCCCATATCCGGCGAAGTTCAACCTAATTAACTTCACGCCGTTTAATGGGATGGGTTCCCCCACTCAACATTTGATTTATTTCAAATCGCACCTGGGAGTTATCTCCGGCAATGAGCCTCTGATGGTGCGGTCATTCGTCGGCACTCTTCGCGGAGCCGCCTTCGATTGGTATCGCCGCCTCAAGCCAGGTAGTGTGAACAGCTGGGACGACATGGAGACCAAGTTCCTCGCCAACTTCTTCGACGACGACACAGAGATATCCATCGGATCGTTGCTGTACGAGAAACAGAAAGATGGAGAATTGGTTGACACCTTCGTCAAGAGGTTCCGGAACAAGGCGATGAACTGTCGGGAACCGATCACCGAGGAATTCATTCTCCAGACTTGCCACAACAACCTCGCGCTAGACGTGTTGGAAGCAATGGGGACAGCACCGTCCAAGACATGGAAGGATCTGAAGGTCCGAGGAGAGCAAGCCGAGCGATTCCTCAGAAGAAAGAAGGCGGAGAGAGGCCAGCAGGCGACAAATGCTCCAGCACAAAATTTCGTCCCACGGGGGAGAGGTAAGGCACATACTAATGCAGTTGATGCTAATCAAACCTTTCAATTGCAACCTCAGCAACAACAACAGCGGTAGCAGCAACGAGCGCCACAACAATCGCAATCACAGTGGCAACAACGGCCTCAGAAGCAGAAGTCTTCAGAGCCAAGATTTCCCAAAGTGTACTCCTTCAAAGATGACGAAGTTCCCGGCATCTTTAAGTACTTGTTGGAGAACAACAAAATTCAGCTGCCAGCGATTGTGGATCAAGAAGGGGCTAGCAAAGTGACGGATCCGAGGTATTGTGCATATCATAGGGCGGTCCATCACCCTACGAAGTCATGCTACCACCTCAAGGACAAGATCCAGGCGCTAATTGATGTAGGCGTCATAACCCCGAAGCCGTCCAAGAATGTTGGAGAAAACGCGGTTTCAATCAGCTTTGGATCGGTTCCCACAACATGGTTCAAACCGGAGCGCATCACCAAAGTAGGGATGAAGACAGTAAACGACGACCCACATGGACAACGCCAAAAAAGACTTGTGCCACACACAGCCCCAAACGGCAAAATCCTATGGGTTCATCCTGATCTCATTGAAGACGAATAGTGGGCGACTTCCTCGAGAAGAAAGGGCAAAGGAAAGTCCTGCAATGCTACTTCCACAATCTTCGAGGAGAATGGCGATGAAGCTCCTACTTTCCCGCTCTCCGAAGAAGAACAAGAAGTTTTTGCGACTCGAAGCGGAAATGAGTATCACTACAACTATCCACCACCTAGTCGCATGTTAGCAGGCGATTTCTCTCCTGCTAATCTGCGCATCTACTGAGATTTCAATGGCGAAGAAGAAGTTTAGCGGGAAAAAAATCCTCAAATCTGGACTGGGAGCTTCGATCTCATCTCAGATCGATCACGAGGAGCTTTTGGACACAAATTCTGTTGATAGCGGTGATGGTGAAGATTCTCTTATGGGATCTACGGGTCCAAAGGGAACATGGAAGGCTAAATCCATGGCGGAGATTCTTGATTCTTCTTTCTCAGGGAATGATTCTTATAGAGAGCTAATGCCGAATCCAATGGTGGGAACTCATTCTAGATTACTCAACAAATCTTTCATGGCGGGAATTCAAGATCGTCAACTCTATAGTTCCCCGTTGGCGGGAATCCAAGATATTAATCACTGTAAGTCTTCTTATCTTGTTTTGAAGGAAAGAGCTCTGCTAGGGTTTCTTGGGCAGAGGAAGCAGATTTGGTTGATTCCTCTGGTTCTTCCTTATCAAAGCAGTTTCCTAGTGCTAAATCTGATGCTAGATCTTTCTTGATTCCAAACTTAGCTGTTAATGAGGATTCTGATATCTTGAATGTGATAAAGGATAGCGAGAATTTTAAAGAATCTGAGAAGCCTATTGATTTAGAAAATTCTAATCAGAAAACTTCTTCAATTACTACCAAAAGCTAGATAAGTTTGTTTTCAGACAACAGGAAAATGGGAAATGGTTTGGAATTGAATTATGTCCCCTCAGAGTCTAAGGATTCTGTTATGTTTGATGATGATGAATGGAATGAGGGTGCCAAAATCTGGCAATTTTCTCTGATTGGGCAAGTCTTAGGTATGAATATCAGATTTAAGGCTATGGAGGGCTTTATTAAGAAAGTTTGGAAGCATTCTCCTGAAATCTGTTTGCTAAGGGCTGGGATTTTTCTATTCAAGTTCAAGAGTAAGAATGAAATGAATGATGTAATAACCAATGGTCCATGGTTTTTTGGATCAAGACCCTTGCTCTTGAAACCATGGGCAGTGAATGAGGAAATCTATAAATCTGATGATTGCATCTACCCCTTATGGATCCAATTACCTGAGCTGAAATTAAACCTATGGAATTCTAAATGCATCAGCAAAATTGCAAGCATCATAGGAAAGCCTGTTGCCACTGATAAATTGACTACTACTAAGCAAAGATTGACCTATGCTAGAGTTCTTGTGAAGGTTAAAATGCCAACAGACCTTCCAGACCAGATAACTGTTCAAGGTCCT